AACGTTAAACTACTCACCCAGAGAGAAACACCCAACTCTACCTCCCCCCCGCAGGTTGGGTGGTTATCAGGTGTCGCCTCTCTCTGACTTCCCCCCGGTGTTCCAGTGCGCCAGCTGGAAAGGGGAGAGCGTGGCGGGCCCGCCCAAGGTGCCAGTCTTGGGCGGTGTCCAAGTCCCGCCCAACCGGATGACTTCTGCAAATGAATTGCGCGAGGGTCCATCAGCAATATTGCTTTTGGACTCCACGTGATCAATATATATATGCAACTTCAGTTTCGCGGCTGTTAGCCAGAAGGCTCCGACAAGATTCGAACTGTCGGGTTGGGGGGAATAGCCTTTCACTAGGTTGGTGGCAGCACTATCGTTGTCAACATACAAAAGTACAGAGCGCTCTTGAAGTTGCTGGCTCCAGAGCTCGAGTGCCCACAGTGGTGCGACTAGTTCTAGCTGACCCATGTAGGATTTACGTGGGCGCCAAGATTGTACCATTGAGTGGGGAACCTCCTCGGTGGAGTACATGAGTTGGTGTGAGTCTGGGATGAAAAGGACTGCCCCAACCAGTCGTTGTGGCTGGCGACCCGGAACGTCGGAGGCGTCGGTGTACAAAACGATCGGTGGAGTATCCTTCAACGCGAGTTCGCGTGAGGGACAGTATTCAAGGAAAGCCAGCATCATGTTGAGTGACCATCTGATATCAGGGGTCAGGCCTTGGAACTTGTGTTGGGAGTACTGGCGTTTACGCAAAGGACCTGTGCAACAGCGGCCTACCTTTCCAAACAAGGTGGGGCAGAGGAAGCCAAACTTCCCAACGAGACTGGCTGCCAAAGCAGCTGAAAGTTGACCTGACGTCAGTACCTGATTGATGGTCTCACAAAGATTGGTGATGCGAGAAGGCTTAGCTTCCAGGTGAATCCTGCGTTCCACCGCAAGGCACTGGGTGGAGAACATGATGCCAAGGATGGCGCAAGTGCGCGACGGAGGTTGCGACTTGTCTGGATCGAGCTGAAAGCCCAGTTCCGTAAAGAGAGCTTTTAAACAAAAGAGCGATGATTCGATGGTAGGAGAGGGCTCCAGGCAAAAGAAATCGTCAAAGAAGTGGTCGGAGAAGGTGTGAAACAAGCGAACTGAGCAGCGGGATATCCACTCCGCCACTCGGCAAAAATTGGGTACAGAGTGGCCGGCGCCGAAAGGCTGTCCGTACATTTCGTGGAGTGAGACTTCGTCAACGTCCGGGTTGTACACTCCGGTGATGGCAAACCTGACGTCAGCAGGGTGGAGTGCTATCTGTCGGTAAGCGGACTTCATATCTTCTGTGGCCAGCTGGATCGACGTCGACTGGGCGGCCAGTGCCTTGAGCATCACACCAATGTAATCAACCATCGTCATGGGAACTTTTTGTAGCCTATGGGCCACCTGGTTTACGCCTGATGCCGTGTGGTCATCGATTCGGCGGAACTTGGCGCCTTGAGCCAGGCCGAAACTTGGTGTGACCTGCACCTCCACGCCATACTTGGCCTGGGCTTGGTCCAGTGTAATAGCTGGACCCATGGTACCGGCTTCAATCTCCCGTTGGGTCTTCTCCCAGATGGCCTTCGCCATCTCTGGGGAACCCTTCTGGGCCATGTGCCGGACTCTTTCGATCATAGCCAGTGATCTCTTGACATCCTTTCAAGAATGTGTCATGTGACATCACTGGCCTGACTTCGAAGGGCTCGAAGAAAGGGGAGGTTTGCGCCTTCCCTGTGATACGCATCCCCGTGAGGCACAGCTGGGGAACTTCCGTGTCCTCTATGTGCAACAGGGTCTGCAGCTTCTCCATCAAACAGGTGTTGGGCTTGGTGCTGAGTCTTTGCGCCGTCCAGGCTGCCTTTGCATTTGCTCGCCTCTGCTCAGCAGCCAGCTCAACTTTGAGTTTTCTGACCTTGGCGAGCTGTTCGAGGCGGTAACGAACCAGAGTCGACGGATTCCCCGCCAGGGCTTTTAATGACTCCTGGTGATCCGTCTTAAGAGTTGCCATTGATGAGAATGGATGCTGCAACTTGCAAGCTTGCTGAAGATGTGCGGCAGCATCGTTCAGCCCATTGGGTATGAGCTGTTGCCTCTTCCCAAAACTTGGCTGTTTAGCGGCCTCCACTGCTTGTGCTCGTGGCGGCGCTGACTCGGCTGTAGGAGTCTCACCAAGTGCGGTCTCTGGAACTCTAGGCACTGGTGTCACTGACGCCGAGGCACTGGACGATGTTTGTGGTTCCATATGCTCATCAAGGAGTTCTGATTTCTCGGGCCCTGGGGGTGTGACGGTGCCTGGAGGGATCGGGGACGGGACTCCCCAGGCTTTCGCCAAAGCACATGAGAGAGGTGCGTTTGGCCCGGAGAAGACTTCAACGAATGACTGGATGGGGTTTTGTGTGGCTTGAACTATGGCTTGTGCGTATGTCTCACAGAATCCCTCTGGGTACTCCCTCTCTAGGCCGGTTGCGAAGGAGGTCACTCTTCCCTTCTCGACCCTCGGCTTCCAGGAAAGGTGGGGCTTTCCGGTGCGTGTACAAATCCTACTGCTGTTACAAATCAAATTTAAATTACTGTTCAATAGGGGAATGTTGTGGATGAGGATCTGGGCTTTCCTCCTCGCACTCCCCTTGAACATGCACGAATGGTATTCCGTGGCCCACACCCCTTCTTCCGCCTCCAAGTCTTTCCAGGATTCCAAGTCTCTGGCGATGGAGTTCTTCGGATGCTCCAGGGTGAAGTACTTCCCCGTGCGCTTGGCCTTCAGGCAGTTTAAAGCAGCCATGTTAGCCACGCGTGTATCCAAGTTCAACTTGCGTTGTTTCGAAGCGGGGAGACTGGCTACCACCGTTGGAATACCTTCGGGAAAATCGGAACTCCTAAGAGGTACCGGGGGGTTCTTTACTCCTGGGATTGGTTTCTCACGAGCCCGGGAAAAGGTACAGCAGTTCGGCCCCCAATGCTGTAGGTCCGAGACCTGAAGGTCTCTCTGCAACTGGTCACCGTGTTTAAAAATATCCCGGCCCCTCAACAAGTCCCAGGGTTCAGCGACCTTTTTCTCCTCTCTTTGAAGTTCCGAGGATTTCAAAAACTCCTGACCTCTCGAAGCGCAGGTCGCTTGCGCTCCTGAGAGGAGCTGTCCCTATTCTTGGCGTCTTTGCCTCCTTTGTCCCTCTTGTGGTCATCTTCCCACTTCCGCTTCTGCTCACGGGATTGCTGCTTCTGATCCTTCCGGAATCCCGGGGGGATCTGGCAGCGTGGCTCGTGGCGTTTACGGCAGACGATGCACATCCGGGGCTTTTGAGGATCGCCTGGCTTCTCCTTGCGGGGGCGCTCCGGGGTACGCGACCTCTTCACTCCCTTCTTATCATCTCCCCCGCCCTTGTGGTTAGACGGCCGCTCCTTCCCCAGGTCAGGGTGGCCTTCTGGTTGCTGGCTGAGGAGTTTCCAGAGCGGCTCGGTCGCGAATTCCGGGTATAGTGGCTGAGTCCAGCTTCCACCGAACCCTTGCCCTTTGCCACCCACTTCAGGATCTCGCCAAAAATCTCTCGGTCTGCACGTCGGGCTTCATTCATGGTAGGGTTGCGCATGCCCTCTGCGGTCACTCCTCGCAGGCTGGCCACAATCCGCTCACCATAGGCCTTCACTACGTCGTACTTGCAGACATCGAGGATGTGAAAAGCGCGCGGTCTCAGCTCAAAGAGGTCCTGCAGGGCGACGGGGTTGTCCACAACGATCGTCTCCGGGAACTCCAGGTCCGTGTCGGTCATCTTCAGGCTCTTCCGGTCCACAACCAGTTCCTTCTTGTCTTTGGGCAGCTTTCCTGCCCTCCTCAACCTTGCTTCGACCTCCATGGACACATACGACTCCCAAGCTAGGTGCTGGAAGGTTCCGTTCGGCATGAAGGTCGCCTGCACCTTGGTGAGCGTGTGTAACGAAGGCCTCTCTCGATCGGACGTAGCTTCTGGCATGCCGGTTTCGACTGCTTTGTCTTCCAGCTCCTGGGCATGGGCTAGGGTGATCTTCGTCTTTCCCTCGCCTTCTTCTCCTGCCAATCTCTCCAGGTGACGCTTGGCCACCTGGGTTGACAGTCCCCAGAGCTTCCTCAGGCAGCCCGTGTCCGGCTCTGACTTGTAGTCATCCCATGAGAGAATCGTCGGCTTCTCGTAGACCATGATCTCGCCGCTGTCATCGCGATACGCCGCCCTCTTCCGCAGCATCTTCTTGAGGTAATCCTCGAGATCGGCGCTGGAAGGAAAACGGTATGCCATGGCCTCGAACGTACTTATCTTGTCCGCGGCCATGACCAAGAAGTCACTCTCATGGACCTCGAAGCTGACGGCAGCTCGTCCGAAGGCCAGAGCCGACTTCGCATCCGCCATGTCGGCAGGACTCCCGGGTTCGGGGCGTGGGTGTTTGATCCACTCATTGGGGCATCGGCACATGCGTCTACAGTAGAGGTGCACCCATCACGTCCATACGAAAGGACATGGATCCCCAATGGACGCTCCAGCACTGCATGAACTCTTGCGAACTGGGTTGCATGGCTACATGGTTTAAACAGTCGCCCTGGCACCCGAATTTTCATCACTTCATAGTGGTCGGCCTACAGGTCTTCATCTAGCACCTCTTCACTGTGCAAGGTGCACCTGTGCCTACTCGCTGGATCAAAGCCCGGCTCACTGGGGTTCAGATGTCCTTCTACTTGATCGCTCCTGCGTCGCCGTCCGCAGCGCAGCACCACCTTACCCTCCTTCTTCAACACAAAATCACACAGCAGTGGGCACGTGGACGTCTCTGCATTCTTTCCAAAGCACTTGCTGCAGAGCTTATAGTCTGTACCCCAGCTGTGGTCCACTCCGAGTTCTGTGAACCTCGAACCCTGGCTTCCGCACCTTGGCATGTGTTCATCCCGGGCTGCAGGCTTATGGATCTTCCCCGCTCCCGAGGAAAGTTGCACAAAGGTGTGGTGCATCTCTAGGTCCGTAATCGCAGGGTCTCCCTCGCTGTCATCAGAGTCAGGACCCCACTCGACGGCATTGGGCGATGTCTCCACGTGTTCAATCGGGTGATCTTTGTAGTACCTGGCGGCGGCATCTTTCTCCTTCCAAGGGTGACTTCCAGCTCCTCCAGGTCTTCTGCGCCAGTCCCACGCAGCGCAGGCGGGAGTTCGGTAACAGGGACCGCACAGTCTCCGCTGATCCTGCGCTCTCCCTGTCGATCCTCCGCGCAAACGATGGCGCGTCTCATGGCTTCCGCTCCCGAACCCTCCCTGCTGGTTTCTGGCATCCTCTGCTCCTCCTCGAGGGTCTCTACTGTGGCCCAATCGGGCTGTCGCATGGTATCAAGCTCCTGGCCCTCCAGGGTTTGAATCACTGCTCCTCGGCGAATCTGATCAAGTACCTCAATCTGTGCCTTCAGAACCAAAATCTGAGATTCACGGAGGTACAGGTCTGGCATGAGCTCTGCCGGGTCTTTCCAGGCTCCCTGGAACCTCACCGTCCTGGTGGTGACCTTGAAGTGGGTCATATACGTGGGCATGGTCGTCTTGCAGCTGTGCCACCTCAGGTGCAGAGCATGCTCTCTGGGCATGATATTCTGGTTTCCTCCATCGATGTCGGCGAGAAGCGCGTGCTTCACGGTCAGGGTGTCTTCGGAGATCAGGGGTGGGTAAAGCTCCCACCCTTCTGCTTTCCCCGCTGCCCTCCCGACGAAGGAGTGAGTGCGCCAATCATGGCCGTGCATCACCAGGAGGAGTTCCACCCATCGGACCAGCCACTTGTCGTTATCCGGATGAACTCCCAGTAGGCTCGCCGCCCATGTCCTGGGGCCTGACTTTGTGTATGCTGCTTTAGCACGGAGTCCCAGGGCTCCTGAACTTCCAACCATTCTGCACCACTCAACGTCCCTCATTGCCGTGCCTGCCAGGTCGGAGTGACGGATGCTAGATTGCGTGCACAGGCGGAGCTTGCCGCAAGCAATGCGAGTCTGCAGGTCCCGGGATTCATCGAGCACCACCGTCTCCAGCCAGTACAGGAAACGGATCTCGAAGAAGGGTGCTGGCCTTCGCTCCGGGGACTTCCCGACGTAATCGGTACAAAGCCTGCGGACCCGAGGGTGAGCACTTCCAGGTGAGTGATACCCGAAGAGGCCGCCGAAGTACTCCACGGCGTAGAGGAAGCTTCGAGGGGTATAGAATCCCACTTCATCTTCGATCAGGCTGATGATGAATGCCTGGATCGCTTCAAGCCCCATGATCTTTGGCCCAGTAGCTGAGGGGGCCCCATACTTGATCTCGTAGGCTTGGAGGTAGCGTGACAGGAGGCGAGCGTACCTGAGGGCTGTGCCTGCTGACTTCGGGTCCGTATACCTGTGGAAGAGTGCGGAGTCGATGATGCCATCCCTTGAGCTAACCGTGTCCACCAAGTCCATCTCCACCCCATGAATCACAAGTTCTTCAAAGAGATGGGTTGCGAGCTTCCTGAACTCCTCGAGCTTGGTTTCTTCGAGGGGGCGGCTCCGGCGAGGAAGGCCCAGAGGGACGTAGGGGACGACTCGGGAAGGGGCGGCTTCCGATCCGCTCGGCTTTTCGGCTTTCTTTGAGAACCCTCCAAAGATGCCTACTTCATCCAGGCCTCTGTCGATTTTACCTGGATCTTCCTCTGGCATGACTGCCGATGGCTTCGGCGGCTCCTCATGCTCCTCCTCTTTGACTTGCAACTGCGGAATTTGAGGCACTGGGGACACTGCCTTCTTTGTGAAGCCTAAAGGCGAAAGCGCTGCTCCCGTCGCCCAGGTGGGGGTATCCCGGGAGGAGCGGTCAGTCGAGAGGTGAGGTGTCGAGGCTGCTGAAGAAGAGCCTTCCGAAGCGGCGGGTACCTTGGTGGGTTTCTCTGCCCTCTTCTCGGCGATCCAGCTGGGAGGTGCCGCCTCTGAACTCAGTGGTGGTCTCTCCTCCGACAAGGACTTTGCTACTGGATCGTCTGCTTCTTCTGCTTCTCCCTGGATCTCCAGGGGTTGGTCACCTTCAGAACCGCTCCGGATGGCTTCCAGGATCTCGTTCGAAGGGACTCCATTTTCAATCATACGTGCGATCTCCTCCCTCGCGGACCATGCCCCATGCCGCAAACAGACCACTGGTCCTTCCTAGCTTGGCACGGTCCCTTCGAGGGGATGTGTCGACCCGCTTTGCGCTAGGTCCCCTCCCCTGGTCGTCGCTACGACCACGACCTTCAGGAGGGTCGAACACAGTAAGAGGTTTACCTCCAGCAGGGGCTCGTTCCTGAGCCCACGCTGGAACAGGCATTCCCCCCGCTGAAAAAGAAACAGCGGAGGCCTGTTCAGCTGCGGGGCTTGACCCAAAATGGCCACGTTGTTCGCCCCGCTGATCAGACATTTACTATAGTACCAGAGGCACAATCTGTATATACTGAACACATTCCTTCCAATCAGTGCGACATTTCTGCAGTAAAGAAGGCTCCCTTAACACCTGCTGTTGTTGGCTCCACGCTTTCACGCATCACCAAACTGCGGCATCTTTTCATCCCAACTCCTCTGAAACTTTGTCTCCAAAGATTCGTACCAAAGTACTCTCCAAAGCCAAAAGCACTTTCGGATGCCCCATGTTGGTCACTCTTCGGATGTCGGAGGGAGTCCCAGGAGCCCCTCGTCCCTCCCATCGGATCTTCTTCTGCGCCTGGAACTTCTCGATGGCCTGCATTTCGTGGCGCGCCAGCCGTTGCTCCAAGATCTGGGTGCGGAACATGGCCTCGTCTTGGTACCTCGATGCGATCCCGCGATGGCCGTGAACGCCGTGAGCCCTTGGGGAAAAAACACCTTCGAAGATTAAGAACACCAATGATCCACAGGTCCCAGAACGGTCTAAAAGGAACATCTAAAAAAGCAGGAAACTCATGGTTTTCACTTTCGGATGGGCTCCCATTTTCCCTGAAAACAATTCTGGGAACGACCAAACTTATTCGGGTCAATAGGCCGGAACGAACAGATTCCATCTCTGTCGGAAAGGAGCGGCTTAGCACAACGGACGGGTGAAGCGGACGGACGGAGCGGCTATACGCTTAGCACAACGATTGACCGCACGAGGATTGGTCATGTGTTGTATATAAGTTGGGAGCTTCCACCTTTGCTCTCCGGAAGCAAGAAGTTCTGAGAAAGAGCTAAGGTGGAAAGCAAGGAACTTCAGTTAAACCTCCTTCGGACCTCCTTTCGTGACCTGTCGCTCTAAAGGAACATCTCCAACTGCATCCGTTTGAGAGCGTCTACTGCAACTGTTGAACTCATCGCAGGAGCTGAGGCATGACACCTGGTGCCACGCAAAAATCCACAATTTGACAACCTGGTGCCCACCCGCCACCCACGACTTCAAGGCCACCATTGTTGCGACTCCAAGGCGCGCAGCAAAGGCCTGCTCGTCCTTCTCTACGGAGTCCCCGCGCCGCTGCATCTGAGCCCGTCGCTTCCGCAATAGCTCCTGCTCTTCCTGGCGCCGGACGAGGTCGGAGCGGGGTGGTGGTCTCGTTTGGTCTAGGCTGCACCGAGTGAAGAAGTAAGGATAGTAAGAGTCACAGTAAATAACAATCATTAACAGTATACATTCATATAGTTATAACATTATATTTGCCAAGTAAATAGGAAAACATCAGTGCCAAGATCTGGCACTTCTCATGATTGAATCAATGCCAACGTGCAATGGCCATCTGTTTTTGAGAAGCCATCTTCAATGAGGCACCTGGCAATACACCTACCTCACTCTGAGCAAGGGAATGTGCTTTGTGTTGGGGGTCGCTATAGATTGGAGCAATGGCAACCTATTTGCATCTATTTGACTATGTGCATTCAATTTGATGCTTATCCTCGGCTTCTACTTTCTTGTCGCTTGCTGACATAATCTGACAGAATCCTTTCAAGTGTGGTAGGGGCTAGGGTGGCTGGGCAGGGTCATGCGTCATGGTAGCTGCGAACGGATCTGCACCCAAAGGTGACCAGAAGAGGCTTCGTGCCTGAAGATGTTTACGCACAGTATGAAGTGATTGAACGATCTTATAGCAATTGAATTCATAACACCCGAAAACAGCATTTGCACAAGCCCCTTCATTGTGTAAAGTTATGTCTTCAATCTAATCACCCTTTTATGAGACACCATGACCCAGCATCATGGTTTGCATCACTGTCTGCGGGTAGCAACTGGGAGTCAGCCCCGGAACTAGTCCAAAGTGTGCTTCGCTGGTGGAACTGAAAGGAACCCAACTCTCCTCCAAGCGCCGCTGAATGATCTCAGCCCTATCGGTGAGACGCTTGCCTAAGTGGACCACGCAAGACCAAAAGGCCGAAGTGTCGCAACTTATGCAACTAATTAAGCTTGATGCTAGTTGCTTTGGCGACATGTTTTTGGAAAACTGGAAAACGGTCCGCTACGCCAAGCCCAGTTTGGGTTGGAAAGGGTGGAGCAAACGAAACTGCTGATGCTTCAGGAAGACCTGTACTGCCCGCAGTGAGGAGTTGGCCATCATCGTTGGAGCACCCTTATAGGTCCTTTGCATCCTTTACCAATTTGTGGCTCCTACCAGGCCCAGCCGTCAATCCACCGAATCCAAACGACGTAACGACTCCTACCAGGCCCCTTCGGTTCGCCGCTCCGAAAAAGGCTTTCATGATCCCATCGGCGTGGCCCACCCAGCCACCTGTGATCCACTGTGGCGGATGTGTCTCCCAAAGAGGAGGAGGGGGCACCACTGGGCCCTGCATGGGGCACCCCGGCACCCATGAAATGCGTTTCCTCCCAACACGGTGTCCATGGGGCGGAAGTCGGTCGTGCACTTCTTGGCCACGAGCTCCGCTTGCAGGGAGTCCAATTGGACCAAGCCAGTGTCCTTGCGGCGTCGGGACATCATCGCGTGAAGGCTCGGAGAAAAAGAGAAACTAATTACAGCAGGTCCAAGACGGATCCTGGATCAACATGTACAAGCGGGAAGAGACCCACATTGGAACTTGAAAATGGAACTTTGGAAGACTCTTTTCCTCTACAACCCAGTGGTTTTCAGGTTCCATGCTAATTTTCCAGGTTGTATACTACACTGTTGACCGTAGGACGTGAAGGTTCTCTTCAAGGAAACTTAGCCATGAGCAAACCTGTGAGTAATTAAACCGTCTCTGATACCACCAAACAAAGAGCCAATCGTGTTGAGATTGGAGGCTCAACCACACTAAGCCAAGGTGGACATCCCGCAAGTTCCAACATGCTTCGACTACCACATCAAACGCCTTCAGTCGTCAGACTTGACGGAATTGGCCATCTGCTATCCTAACCATTGGACCTGTGTGGTCTCAACACCTGATCGACTGCAGATCCTTGTTGAAAAAGTCCACCAAGTAGGGTGCCAAAATGTCGACCTTGCGCAAACGGGACCAAATTGGGAGTCATGCGCGGACATATCACTTCTTCCGCAAGGCAAGCACACTTGATGACGGCCTTGGAGGTTTGCTCTTCTTGCTTCTCCTCCTCCTGGCCTTCTCGCGAGCCTGCGCCAACGAGACTGAGTTGGCCCTTCACGGCACTCGATCTCACCAGTCCTAGGCCCATCAGAAAGGCCTTGCCGCAGGTCTTTCATGAAAAACAACAGGTCATGGTTTGTGGATGACCTCCGCTGTTTTCCAGGCCTCGTTGAACACATCTGAACACCAAGGCCTTCCCCGCCTTCAACTCGTGCTGATTCCCGTGCAAGGTCATACACCGAGGGTTCGAGCACATCATCCCGGCTGCCTGCGCGCGCGGTGGTGCGATGTTGTACATGTTTTCGTATATTAGATGCTTGGCCACATGCAGTCTTCCAACCAACGGATTGGAAAGCCATCTTCCTTTATGTTCCAAGAAAAAATCTCTTGAACTACCTCCGGCAGATCATTCTACGTCGATCTAGACCGCTAGACATCCTAGATCGCCTCAGAACCCTGAAATTCATGGTGTTCCTTTAGCTTTCCTTTGCTCCGTTCGCCTGGAATCATGGTGAGGTCTCGCTTCTTGCCCGCGGCCACTGAACGCATGCCACGGATGCTGATTTCATCTTTCTTGCGCGTTGTAAGCTCCTGTCGCCCGGCTCGAACCGGGGCGGGTGCTCTTTGCCTCAGGCTCCAGGTACCCCATGGTGAAGAGGATCGAACCGTGGATGGCGGAATTCTGAAAACATCCGTGAATTCCGACACCTAATGATCAAGGTGGTGCGTGGATGGCGGAATTCTGACACCTAATGATCGCACCTTGGCCGTGGCTGGGTAGCCAAACAGCAGCTAGACTCTACTGAACCGTGCTT